GCACGCAGAGTAATGGGCTACCAGTGAGCCTCCCGGCCCTGCCTGGCCATCGGAGCCGCCGGGGGTCCGAGGATTGTCCTTCGCCTAAAGGGGGCCGTATTGTCCCAACAGGGCCCGCGCGATATTGCTCTGGAACTCCTCTCCTCGCTTGCGGCTCCTCCCTGCTCTGCCCCTGCCCGGGAGTCGCCGGAGGAGCCGGGAAGGAGAGGAGCGGGCTCGGCCACCCTAAGCTGGGCGCGCCGACGGATGGCAAGGCGGGATCCCCTCCAGCAGCTCCCGGACCTGCGAGGGAAGGTCTTCTGAACGCCGCGGCTGCAGGGCGGGGGAGGGGGGGCAACACGAGCAGCAGCGTTTTTGCTTCAGTCAGTCAGAAAAGCCGAACGTAGCCGAGATGCGTTCTCCATTGCAAACATGTGCATCTTAATAGGAACCATGGCCCGGCTTGCAGTCCCAGACGGGCGGCTCTACGAGGCCATGGAAGGGGGATCTGTGAGCACCGAGGGCGCAGGGACCGAAGCACGGTGGGGGCCCCCGACGGCTGGGCGAAAGGAGGAACGTGCAGCGAGGGGAAGAAGCCGCCGCCTTACCTGAGGAAGTCAAGCCAGCCGTCGTGGAGAACGGAGGGGTCCAGCTGGAGCGACAGGAAATTCTCGCTGGTGACCCGGAGGGGGCTCCGGGGGCTCACGTCCAGGAGGATGAGAGTCCTGCTGCCGGAGGAGCCCTGGGGGCTTGGCCCAGAGAGAGGTCGCCTCACCCCGGCCTGGGAGGGAAGGGAGAGGTGAGCCAGCAGCGCCAGACCAGGGGCCAAGAGGGCCAGAAAGCCGGGAGGGCCAGAACTGGGGCAGGACATACTGGGCCGAGGCCGAGGGGGGCTTCCTAATTAAGTCCCGCGCAGGGCACAGCCTGTCACGGGCGGCTAATTGTCCGGAGTGCAAAGCGTGGGGGCGCGCTGCCTTTTTTTCCCTCCCCCCTCCCTCCTTCCCTCCCCCCCCCCCAATGTTTTGGTGCTGGTGGGAGAGGGGAGCTGCTCACGCCCCTGACCAGCCTTCCCCGGGGCCGGTGCCAAGACGCCTTGTTCACCAGCGCCTCCCCTGGAAGAGCCGCCGCCTGCGGACATCTTCGCTTTCGCCAAGGTACCGGGGAGTCTCCTCTCCCGGGTTAACCATCTCGGCCTCGGCTCCCCAGAGGAAGCGGGCCGACTCCCTTTGGGGTTGGGGCTGGGGGGCTGGGAAGGAATTTGCCACCGTCTTCCCCAAAGGGGGGCCTCCCATCCTTGCAGTTGCGAACCGCTAAGGGTTGGTTTGCAGGGGAGCGCCACCCGGAGGTGAACCGAAGCCCCCTTTCCATCACCGAGATAGGCTGCCTTCTCTCTCCCGCCCCCAGCCCGGGAAACCGCGGGCAGCAACGCCTATAGAGATCTCTGGGAGAGTGCGGCGGAGATCACAGGGCCAGGGGGCTTTCTTTCCTTCGCGCGATCCTTGATGTCCCTTTTCACGCTCATAAACCGAGCAGTCGAAGCAAAGCGAAGCAGGACCTGGCTCAGGAGAGGACGGAAGGAGGGGGGGAGGGAGGAAGCCACACGCCAAGGGCAGCGTCCCATCCACAGCGAGGGTTGCCAACAGGACCCGGGACGAATAGCGATGCCGCCGCGAGGACGTCTGCTCGGGATGCCGGGGCGGAAGCTCTTGGCTCTGAAGAGAAGCGCTCTCTCGCCCGGGGTTGTGGAAAAGCGACTGGATGGTCTTCGGTGGCCGCAGTCCAGGAGGAGAGAGGACCCAAGGGAGCGGAGGGAGGCTGGTGAGTGGAACCAGCTCCTAAGCCGAGAAGGTTTACTTTTCCTCCACGGAGGTAGCATCTCCCAGACAGCCAAAGAAAAGATGTGTTCCCTCGGCTCTCCCTCCCGGCAGCTGTGGCTGCCTTTTTCTACGGAGTCACCTTCCTCTTCTTGGGAATATCGCCCGGGGCTCTTTTTGGGGCGGGTATAGGGATAATGGAGAGTGAGCCAAGGGGCAGGCGGGGGTATTTTTCCTTGGAATCGGAGGGGTTGCCATCGGAGATAGGGGCAGGCATGGCTATCTGCAGGGGCGCCTGCCCCCCCCATCCTAAACTTATTTATTTGGGTTTTTTGTGTGTGTGTGTGGATACAGACCCAGGCCCTGTGTTGTACTGGCGTGCTTACATACCACTGTGCATGTTCTTCCCCCCGAAAAATTCCCGTGGACATTCTGGGGGACAGAATATGATATAAGGACAGGCTGGGAACAGAAACGATTATTGCTTCTGTTAATCCCGCGAAATCTCTTCAATTTCCACTTGCCGCTTAGATGGAGACGAATGGTTCATTTCTCCCCCACCCCACCCCACCCTAGAATAGCTTTAAAAACAAGTTTGGGAGATACCTCCAGTTCTGAATCGCAGCAGAGTCCGGAGCAAGCTTCCAAATCCCTAACTAGCGAGAAGTGAAGGATCATTTCCATCAGGCCTCCCTCCCCAAGCCCTTTGAACCTCTATACTGTACTGTATATTTGTGGTCAGTTGAGATCGGCTCTGTTCCCGAGGACACTTCCCTGAGAGTAAGCACTATTGGAGACGGTGGAGGCTTGCTTTTATGGAGTACATCCATTTCGTTCTCCTGAGTAAATCTGTAGAAGTGGGATTGGGTTATATGACTTCAGCATACAGAGAGAAAGAGAGAGAAAGAACGAGACCGGGCCGCTTACTTCCAAGCAAATATACAGCTACTGTACTAGGATCCGCGTGTTAAAGCGTTAGGCAGATCACCTGGCTAGGAAGGGCTGGCCCACACCCAGCAGGCATTGCCCCACCTTGAAGTGCCTTACATCAGGACCTGGAAATTAAAAAAAAACTTTCCAGAGCAACTTGTTATTATCTTAGCCTTTAATCAATTTGGCGAAGGTGTCGCTTCTGCCGATGAGACGTGTAACTTCTGTCTTCCTCTAGCCTTAAGAAATGGCCCTTAACGTCTTATTTAGTCCTTCGCCCTCTCTTTTTAAGCGCAGTCATTCTTTGCAAACCTTTTCTGCATTTATCTGAACCATTTCCCGTGAAAATCTGATTAAAATAAAAGTCTAGCAGAATCGCCCACCTGAGCCGAAACTTTTCGGAACTTGATCTATTCACCGAGAAACCAACCGGGTCCCCAAGATCTGAGATAGCTTCCCGAAAATTTGCCGTTTCTTGGTTCACTTAACGTTGTGGGGGCCGGACCGTCTTTATTTGGAAGAAAGTACCGCCCGAGGTCACGAGACTGCAGCCCTAACTTGAGGCCAACCAAACTCCGAGTCTAGTAATTAGATTCCGGTCTTGCTTGGCCTCGAGTTATGGCTCTAGTATTAAACAATTTGTGAAGAATGATATCCACACTCTTCTACTTGTCTTGTCTGGTATGCAAAGCGCCTGGACGGTGGGGAGCCCTGGGACAGCCGACCCGACCTTGTGTGCTTGCTTATGCATGAAAACATTCTTACTCCGCGTTTAGAAAAATGATGTTCGGGGACTGCTCGCCCCAATATGTTCCAGCCAGCAGGTTACTGGCAGGAAAATTCTGGAAGTTGTATCCCAAAAAGTAATTTTTACAAGTCAGTTCTTCCTCGCAAGTAAGTTCTTCCTATCGTGTGGATATTGGGTGAAAAGTTGGGCGGGGTGACTAATAAGAGTCGTTGGCTCTGAACAAAATCTCAATGGATTTCGGATCTCAGTCCCCCAGCCCGCACGATCACGTGAATGTGTGTCGTCGGGAGCGAGAGCCATCTATCCTTTGCTGGCTGATATCCCAGAGGATGGGTACAAATTCATAGCCCTGGATTGCTTTTCAGCAATCAGGGCAAGCCACTGATTTTCTCAGTCTTGTAGTCTTCATCTCCTTTGCAAAATGCTGAGCCAACGAATCCCACTCCGTTTATTGATAATATTTTTGTTTTCTGGAGAAGAGATTACTTGCAAGCAAAATGTTCCCAAGTAATGAAAGTTCCGCTTGAGCAAACAAATAACCCCAGTACCTTAGACATATGAGCGAAATGTGCATGCAATTCTGTTAGGGGTTTCCTTTCCCAGCACGGAGCCGGAAAAGGAGTGAGGCTTTGCCGTGGCTTTTAAAAAATTTAGGATGCAGCATACTGTATATTGGGCAAATACCTATCGACAGGCAAGCTTGAGGAATCGTTTTCCTGCACTGTATCACTGACGTTACTCGGAGAAGTGTATTTTAGGTCTTCGGGATACGGGGACTGGCCTGGCTCATGCATAGGTCTGGAAGAAAATAAAGGAAGACAAGGAGACTTTCCCCTCCCTTCTCCTTCAGTGAGTATTCATGCTCAAGTAGAACTTTCCCAATTCATCACAGTAGCCCGACAGGGTCATCTAGCCCAGTAGCCTGTCTCTGACAGTGTCCAGATCCATATACGCCAGGAAGTTTTTTTCTTCTTCTTTTCTTTTCTTAAGGTGGGGTGCGTCTGTCAAAGAGTTCTCTGTAGAGTCTGGGAGTGCTAAATTTTAAGAACACCCGCAAAATGTCAGGATAGATGTATTAACCTTGCTAGCCAATGTCTATTAATAGTTTCTTTGCATTTCTTTACATCAAAGCAATCCAGGCTTAAAGGAAATAAAATAGTCCTTCCATGAAAAGCACATTTTACCTGGTGAATTCTTTGAAGTTAACCCAACTGAATATACCCGTGTGAGTGCAGGCGGGGGAGTGGGATTTCCAGTACAGCAGAAAGAGCCCCCTAGATAAAGTGTTCCTTCAAGGAAACAACTAATTTCATTCCTTTCAATGACTGTTTTCATATAATTTGGTAGTGCTTTATAAGGACAAAAAGAAAGAAAGAAGTATTTCTTTAGTCTGCACGTTTTGGTGACTGTACATAGTTCAGTAACTTCCATTTTCTGCCCTCCTTTTCAAAGGCTGAAATCCTTGTATTTTCACAGTGAAATTCTGACCAGTTTTCTATTTGTTTATTTATTCTCCCTTTGATTACATCTTTCTCAAAACCGTGGGTCAGACCACTTATGGTGCAACGCGCCACTGATTCACTGAATGTTGCATGAAAGTAAAGGCTCTTTGAGAGAGAAGTTGGTCTGGAAAAGGTATAGGCCGTTTGAAACTAGACAAGACTTCAGGCCTCTGACAAGATGGGCCCTAATCGACCCAAGGTGAAACCATGGTGAATCTGTGCCAATTCAAGATGTCATAAAACTCTTTTGTTGGTTTTGCTGCAAGGGATTAAAACGTGGCTTACTTCCCTGGAAATCTACAGTTGGGTTTGTTCTTTGGATGACATCTCCACTTCATTACCCAGGCATGTCAAAGGATCGCTTGGAAAAATCTGTACCCATTGGAAGTGGCAAATGTTGCAGTGCTTTTGTTCAGATTTGTGGCAAATGTTGCAGTGCTTTTGTTCAGAAGGGTTTTTTTTTCACTTCTCTGTCTGTGTGTGTGTGTGTGTGTGTGAGTGAGTGAGTGAGAGAGAGAGAGAGAGAGTGTGTAGTGGAAGGTTAGTTTGCAACAGGAAGACTATGTGTGTGTGTGAGAGAGAGAGAGAGGTATAGTAGTGCAAGGTTAGTTTGCAACAGGAAGACTTGCAAATAATCTTGTGGTAACCTAAGGACTAACAAGTTTTATTTGGTACATGTTTTCATGGACTTCAGCTCACTTCCTCACACTTTAGCCCACCTGGGCCAAAATCTTCCCATATCTTATGCCAAATAAAACTTGCCACTCTTTTAAGCCAAAAGACTCTTTGGTGTGTGTGTGGGTTTTGTTTGTTTGTTTGTTTTTGTTTTTAAGAGCAGGTAGCAGGTCAGTGGAATTTTCTTTTGTAACTTTTCCCTTCATTATATGAGCCGAGGAATAAACCTTTGCTGGGCATTCAATCAGAGTTTTTAGAAGTTGGTCTGGGGACTACCGCTCTAGGAAACCTACATCCACTGGTGATGTTGGCTGGGGGATTCTGGAAGCTTTTCCTATCAGAAATATTTTTTTCCAAAATCTATCTTTAATCTAGCCTTTGAGTCCCAGCACTGTGGAACAAGAGAGGTGAGAGATCCTCCAGCACTGGCAAGAACATCCCGCTGAAAACAGCTTTTAAAATTGGACTGAAATACCTGTGCAATATGTTTACCCCAGCCCGGTATATAAACTACCCCATGGCGTTGCAAGATTGCATCCGGAAGTCCAAGCACCTGGTCTGAAAGTCAGTTCCGCTGAAATTGACCAGCCTTTAGTCTCCTCTTGCTTAAAGGAGCGGGTGTTACCCCGCCCTGCCACCGCGGCGAAAAGCCGATCGCGTAACATGGAGCTGCCGTTCCTTCTCCCGCTTTCCTTGAAAGGAAGCCAACCCATTTCACAACCTTTTCACTAGGCAATCCTACCCGTGTCGGCTGAGCGGAAAACTCCATCGAGGGCAATAGAGCTTAGTCCCAAAACAGAGAGAGAGTACTGTAGAAGATTGCAATTTCAGTCTCCTGTAGATTTAACTGGATTAAATTATTTCATATCCTACAAAAACTTGTCATTCCTTTCATTTTACAGGTCATTGATGAACAAGCCTAAAAATTCGGGTCAATTGACCCCTCGAGATACGACTTGGAGGATCTTCCCAAGAACTTTGTACATAGCTGGTTAGTTCGTTTGTTTAAACAAACGTTGAAAAACTTTGTATGTATGTGGTTTGTTTCTTTGACTACAACTCCAAGTATCCCACATCCAGCATGTAATAAATAATCCAGTTTATGAACTGCTTTTAGACATCTTAAGTATGGACAAAATCCATTAAATCCGCCTTTCTTGATATTCACAGGGGAGGAGGGGAGGAAATGACAATTAGAATTCCTAAATAAAATGTATTCGGTGAAGTGATCCCTCGATTTGGCGCCCTTTGGGAACCTCCCTGGCAGTAATTTGCTCAGTTTGGACTCCACCGTTTGTGATTCATGGCTTCAGAATTCAAAATTTGTCATTCATTATTTTGATATTTGTGTAACTGGTAACATATGCTCCAAGGCCAATACCTCTAGGCAAAGAAATAGAAAAATAATAACAAGCGGCAAATTGGAAAGTCAGGATTTAACCTGTAATAATGATGGTCCCTTTGCAAACCGAGTCGGGGACATTTCCGAATGGGATGTTGTAAACATAAATATTGAATACTTGGGGGGGGGGCGTGATTTTCGAAACGTGTTTTCCCTGCTACATTTTGCTCCACATCCACTGCCTGGGTTTAAAAATCTCGCTGTTTTTATGAGATCGGCCGTGCGGGTTGGGAAATCCTAAGAACCATAGCTCCCCCCCCCCAAAAAAAAAACCAAAAATATATTTCTGGGATCTGGAACAAAGTATTGATGGAGGCTGGTTTGGAAAGGAACTCAGGTTCTTTTGGTAAATCCAGCAAGAACATGACCTGGATTCCCAGCGTTTCGTCCGGTTGTTCAGGAATGTCACTTCCACGGAATTTATAGCCGTGCAAAAGCCCCTGCCAGCTCCGGAGACAAGAACTGTCAGCGACCAGTATATGGCTGGCTGCCTTGACCTTCAGGTCTCCCCTTACTCCAGCCAGGCTTTAGCTGGAGTGTGTGACCAAGAAACGACAAGGAAAGATCTCCGAAGTCCTGTATGTCTGTCTCTCTCGCATACGCACGCACGCACACACATACGTGTTCCCGGGCCTGTTAACTCTGAAAAGCTGAAGAGTCCAAACTGACCAAACTGCTGCCAGGGAGGCTCGCAAAGGCTGCGAAGTTGAGGAATCACTAAAAAAAATACACTTAGGAACTCTAACGGGGTTTTCCCGCCTTTCTCCCGCGAGTGTAGAGAAACCGACCTTACCGAAAGGGCTAACCGCCAGGGGGCGCAATTGTACGGAGCCCGTTTCGTTATGGCTAACGGGGTTTTCCCGCCTTTCTCCCGCGAATGTAGAGAAACTAACCTTATCGAAAGGACTAACCGCCAGGGGGCGCACTTGTATGGAGCCCGTTTCGTTAGGGCTTGCGTAAAAAGGCTGCGAAGCATTTCCCTTTGCCCGAAGGCGACTCCTCATTGTGCGCGCCTCCTAGTGGCCGAAAGGCTTGCTGGGACATCAGATTTTTGCTCAATGGCTGGGCGGGAAGGCAAGGGGTCAAAGCTTGAGGGGGGGGACTACAACTCCCAGACGAGATGGCGGCGGCTTTTGGGAGGTGTAGTCCAATTTTCCCCGAGCTCTATGTAATACATCGATCCTAGCAAATCCTTCTGCACAGCTTCACTCCTCTGTCGCTCTGTGAAGAGGGCAAGCCAGGCTAGAGAAAGCCCTGAGCTTTAGCCTCAGCCATCCACATCGGGCGGGGCGGGAAACTGAAGGACCTTCACCCGTGAAACGCTCCCCTTGGCCAATGTGAGACTTCATGAAAATCAGCTACCTGTAAAAAAAAAAATAGCTCCACGTTGAGGCACCTTATTCCATGCGGTTTGAAAGGAAATAACAGGTGTGGGTGTGTCCCCAGTCCCCTGCCCAAGTTTGCAGTCTTCTCATGGATCAGGCCTGTCCGGTTTAGCCTTCTGTTAGTTGCCAAGGAAGTGCTTAGGGCACTGCTTCCCAACCTGGAGTCCCCTGACGTTCTTGGACTACAACTCTCAGAAATCCTGGCCAGCACCGCGAGTGGTGATGACCTCGTGGGAGTTTTAGTCCCACAACATCTGGGAGCCAAGGTTGGGAACCACTGGTTTAGGGTATGCTCACAAGTGCTTCCAAGTCCCCTTCTGGTCTTTGGCGACCCAATGAATGACTCCTAAAGATCTCCAATTGACTACCCTGCTCAGATCGATCCCTGTCACTTTAGATCTTCCTCTTTTCCCGTTGCTTTCAGCTTTTCCTGGCATTATCTTCTTTCCCAGTCAGTTTCTCCTGTACAGTATATTGAAAGTACTGTAGGGCTTGATTTGAACCTACTTATCTCTTTTTCTGGCAGTCCGCTAGATCCCTAAAGTTCTCCTCCCATATCACATTTTGAAAGGGCCAGGGTATCTTCCCTTGTCTGCTTTCTTCATGGTCCAGCTTCCACATCCATACATGGGGATACCACAGCATAGAGGACCTTGGCCTCCATCTGCAGTGACACACACTTGCACTTAAAGAGTCTCTTGCAGTTCCCCCACAGATCCCTTTCCAAGTCTCAGTCTTCTGATTTCTTTACTACAGTTTCCCCTCCGATTTCCGACTGCAGCAGTGTGTGGAAAACCTTGAACCATTTCGATTTCTTCATTGCTGGCATTAAAGTTCGGTGCCTTTCCTCCATGAATTTTTCTGTTCACTGTTTCAGGCTGGTGGCTACCATCACTATTCCTTGTGCTATCGAAATCCGCGTTTTTCACTAAGGTGTTTTCATCGCAGCTTGGAAACCTTGGGTTGTTTTGAGCACTTCTCTCAGAAAATGGCCATGTTGGTTGCTGGACTCTGGAAGACATAGTCCCCCAAAAGGAGCTTTTCCAGGCTCAAAGTTTCATCCGTCCCGAATCTCGGCCAATATCAGGAAAGAGGGTGAAAAGCTGCTCCCTGTCCACTTTCCTCCATCATTTCATACACTACTATCATGCTCTGTCTTTTTTTTCCCGCCCAAGCGAAGCAGCCTAGTGCTTTCAGTCTTCTTCCATGGGGAATTTACTCCAGCCCCTTGACCAGTTTGATTGTGGGGTTTTTTGCACCTTTTCCAATCCTGCAATATCCCTCCAGATCTCCTGCATCTTCTACTGCAGAAAATTACTGCCTCCCTGTGCAAGAGCGGGGAACCAAAATACTTCCCCTTTAACTCTGAGCGCGGAGCACGGGTACGCTCTTTGCTTGCCCTCTGCTTCCTGGGGAGGAGCAGGCGGGCCGCTTCTACGGGAAGATAAGGGGGAAACGGTGCGTGGGGAAAAAACAAGGGATTAGCTGTGCCCTCGCCCCAGAGCATCCCCAATAGCGAAGACCTTTTTAAGTTTCCAACCTCACTAGTTTTTAGCGGCTGGAGAGATGTCGAGCTTTCTGTCCGAGGCTGACGGGCAGCACTAAGCGCTATCCATGATCAGGAGACCGGCATGAAAGCCCATTTCTAACAGGACGGGTTTTACAGGGCGCATCGGCCGCACCGCTCCCAAATTCATGGCGTAGTCGGTGTTGGTTCGCGGAAAATGCCACCAAACCCTGAGGGGCGCGTGCACCAAGATTTAAGCTTCTAAGCCTCCCCGCCGGAGCCCGATCCTGACAACAACGAAGATGGAGCGAGAACAGCGAACCTGGCCCACTTTGAGCCTGGCACCTGCAGGATCTCAGCGAAAACCGGGGTGCGGATGGGCGAGTTTGTCTTTTCAGTAATTGCTGATTTGGGGAAGTAAATCAGACCGAAGCGCCTTCGCGAGCAAGGATGCTCCGTCGAATCGCCCTGTTTTGCCGGCGCCTCCCGCCCAGAGGAGGATGGAGGGCGATAACAATGAGCCCCGCTGTCAAGAAGGAGCTGCCCAGAGTCTTTCAACTCTTCCGCCGCCATCACACACGAGGGCCTCGCCTGGCCACAGAGCTGGAAGAGCCTGATCTCTCTGTCCCAGGCAAGCATCCGGGGAGAGAGCAAGGAGGTGAAATAGAGAGAAGTCCCGGTTCTAGCCGACCCTTGTCGAAGTGGCAGGGAGAGGGGGCGGAAGGGGGCCAGGCCGGACCGCCCCTCTTCCCGGGACCTCCGAAACACGGAGTGGTAATGACCGCGAACGCGCTGCGGGCTTCCCACTCTTCTCCTGGTACAAAGTGAGAGCAACATGTAATTTTTAAAAAGACAAAGAGACAGACTCTCCCTAGATTTCGTCTCCTTTATGCCCAAGGTACTCATCGTTCCAGGTGTACAGTTTTCCCAGCTGATGGCAGTCCAAAGACAGTTGGCCGGGAAACAGACGAACATGCTTTGAAGGGACTTTCTGGCCACAACCACATCTGGCTGAATTTGGGGGCTTCTTTGCTCCTTCCTTCCCTCCCTTACTTTAAGTTGTGTATACCACTTGGGCTGAAGAAGAGTTCTGGAAAACTTGGGAACTTGCACGCTGCGACAGAATTTCGGTCTGTCTTGATGGCCATATTTATTTATAGCCCTGCAGCAGGCTTGGGTTTTGCGGTGCCCCCGGCCTGCTTCCCCTCCTGGGTGGACTCCTAGAGCCCGACCGCCACCCCGAGGCGCGCGCCCTGGTCCCGGGGTCCCGAACTTGCTCCCGACACAAATGAGACTTTCATTTCTCGCTTGCGTTTCTTCCCAAGTGGAAAGCATTCTTGTTTCTGAACACTGGAGGTATTGCGTCGTGAGGATTTCGGAAATCCTATCTCTATCACCGGGTCTTCAGCAGGAGATGGATTCTGGCCACTCGATTTCCTTCTCCAGAGTGTCTTCCCGTTTTGCATCTGATGAAGCGGGATGCCATCCACGAAGATGTGTGCCAAAAAGAAGAATCCCCCGTTCATCTTTACGGTGTCACAAGACTTCCTTGTTTTTCTTGCAACAGGCTGTCATTGTCTGCCCAGAACCCCTTTAGAATGTGTATATTTGGCAATAGTAGTTCTCGTTTGTCCGAGATTCCTTCATGTTATCCCTGAGCGGGTCCAATAAAATTTCACCCAAAAGATTATATCAGG